TCGAACAGGGCAGACTGCTTCAACATTTTCAGATTGCGTGACAAGTTATACGTAATAGTAAGAACGCAAAAGCGCAGTGAGAATGATATCTGCCTTAAAACTTATCAGTAGGTCAGGTGCATTGAGAAATAGCATAAGAGTTTAAACTTGATTCTATAATTGAAAAGCAGTCCATTTTATTTTGAGTGTTGATATTGCGTAAGGTTTGAAAAATGTTGCACAATGTTAACCATATCTGCCTATCAACGGACTTATCTCTGCGGAAGAATTTTGAAGGTACTGAGAAACAATTATAAGGGAGCATCACTCGAGGAAATAGTAGGTTTCACATTTAGTGTAAATCAAGTGGGAAGGACGCCGGAAGTGGACCGTGTCCATCAGGTTATGAGTATGTTCGACTCCAAAGTGCCCGATAAACAATACTATTGTGGTATTTTAAGCCGCGGGAGTACTTCCAGCGCACAATCCTTTTTTAAACCGAAAATTTAGTATCCAGGCCCATGCTGGTATTCTGTTTGTAATAGCAAACAATAAGAATAATTTTTATCTGTTTTACAAAGTTTAAAAAATTAAGGAGCATGTATTCTGCACGATTTTTTTGGTATTACACTACAGAGGAAAATTTTACAGCAAAATAAAATGGATTTACTGGTTTGCTGCAGAAAAAATATAACTATGGGCCATCATATTGCATGCACGCTAAATATTTATTGATTCTTTTTGCTTTAAAAAATGGCGGGTCTACATTTCCGCCTGCGTCGAAAAGTTAATTCCAAAAATACAAATAACGCAAACTATGCATTATGAACTCAAGCGCATGTCCAGTACAGGCCTTGCCTAGGGGAGTAAAGCTCCTTCAGCGACGCCAGCTTCGCGCGTTCCATCGGAGGTTAGGAAATGTCAAGATAAAAGCAATTTTATCACGCTGCCAAATAGTTGCGCTTTATGATTGATCTGTATTCCATGCCTTAATAAATTTACAAATGTAAGAACTCCTATGGTGCACCCTACTGCATCAGCAAATGAAATTAATTTATGTCGCAGGCGTTCAGAAAATCTGAAAATAATCGAGAAATTGCTGCTACTAACTTTTGCCATATCGTAGCAAAATTATGTTTTGGAAAATATTTTGACATAGCAGACGGATTCGCCTTTCTGAGAAGATGAAGAAGGCCTAAGATCCTACGTTAGTCTGACTGTATACTCGGGTGAAGAATAGGCATCGTTGTTTTAAGAAAGGCAGAAGTTTGCTTTCGTTATTGTTTGAATCAGCGCAATCATAAAAACACGATAAACTTATTATATAAGAAGAAAGCAGGCGATATTTTTGGAAATGGATTTCTCTTGATCTTTAGACATAGCTCCACTTTAGGCAGCATCTAGTTGGTTGTCCAGGCAAAAGTTGTGGAGATACAGCAGTGTCAGTGAAACCGGACTTCAATGAAAAGGGAGAACTTAACGTTCCGCGAAAATTAAGTAGTTTATAGCGCATAAATCACACTCTGTCCATCATTGTGTGAACACGTTCGTTCTCATCATAGCTTATGTCTAATGCTTCGAACTTTTGCCTCCTTTACCGCAGAACTACTCTCAACCACAATATTCACTTACTACGCAAACATAATTGCCAAGTCAATGCTATTTTTCTATAATTGACTGCAAACAGGTGAGATCATTTTGTTTCTCACTGGCTACTTCTTGAACAAGGCACAAGGGTGATTACTATTACGAAAGAGGAACGCAGTTTCACTTACCTGGGCGTTTCCTATGGCAATATATAATTGGTACGAATACACTGGCATCTTACGAGTTGTAATTTTATGGCAATGTATTATTAGTGATTGCTAGAGTGTACTTTCACCTCCTGGATATCTCAGCAATGCCTTCCTAAACATTCGAACAATCATACACCGGCTTATACCTATATCCACAGATTTTATTGGGTTTCAGTACCCTTACGACTTTCTGGCGTTCGCAGAGCGTTTACTATCTGTACATTTTCTCAACGCTGTCAACAAACTTCACGGAAATTGACCTGTTTAGAGTCGTGCAGTGCGTAACGGACTCGTTGAAGACGACCTTATATAGCGTATGTTTCACCGTCTTCGTCTGCCTATTCATAAAACGACATTTTATTCAATAAGTAAATATGATAGTGTAGTCAGATATACCACCGTGGCCATATACAGTACGCCTAAAATTTGTGTGACATGCCGAAATATGCTAAAGATTGGCACTTATCCGCTGATTGACATTGAGTCACGTTGTAATACTGATTATTGTGTAGTCTCATCTGAAGTCATTTCAGTCACGATATAATGCCGGCTTTTGAGCGAGCTTCGTTTTAACCGCTAACAAAAGGTATGTACTGTAAACATTGGCATTGATTATCACTGCCTTTATAAATTTAAATATATTTTATGGAAAACAAAATAAAGAATATTTATTACATTAGTTTTATAGAAAATTACGCCCTCTTTAAATGTTGTACTTTAAAAAGCGTATCCTTCCGTTTTAAAAAGTTTCCAATTATGAGCCTTCTTACGGTTGTGAGCTGTTCATGCATTAAACATCACATCCGACAATGTATTACTGCTCTAAATCGTCTTTGCAGCATGTTCCACATCAGTTGCATTATTTTATCAGAACCACGA